AGGATAGATTTGGCCAGAATTTGTATTCCATAATTAAGACAATACTGATGCAAAATGCAATATCTTGTCAAACAGATGTTTGCTTCTTTTATTACTGGCTATCAATAGAATTAATTGACCTCCATAATACTTGTTCAGCAACTACATCACAGGCAGAGAAGCGGAATAGAGGAACATGTATGTTAACCTCTCTTTCCCCTACAAATGGAATACCTTAGTTTATGCACATGACATACAGACTGGACAAGTGCACTTGTACCCAATCCTGATCCCAGAGGCCCACATACCTGCTGGGATTTGTTCCTCCCAGCTGATGCTCACAGCTACACAACGTGAACTGAACTGATTTAATAATATTCATTTTAATTGTTTCTGTTCTCAGCTCTTAAATATCTTGGAGGTTGCCTTTTAGCTATCGAAGTTCAGAAGCAACATAAAATTCCAAACTCTGGAGTAGAATATATCTTCCCACTATTCCAATCAAGCAACTTGTTTGTTCAATGAAGGCATCAATTAAGTGATTAAGCTTGGAGGGTGAGAAAACCAGCAGGTGTATGGGTCTCTAGGACCAGGATTGTGGGTATTCCATCAGACCGAACAAGCGTGCCCAACAAGTAGATCCTGCTGGGACACTGACATCAGCATGACCACTCACCCAAAACTCCTGCAGCTCTGTTAGGTGGCTGATGTTCTCAATCTTCTTTATCCTGTTGGCCGCGACATCCAGAGTGGTCAGCTTTTTCTAACGGAGAAAACAAGAGCAGAGGTTTCAGTGCGGGAGAGACGACGATATACCATGGCAAACCCACAGTGCACTGCTCTCCAGATCTCAAAGCGGACAGAATACTAGAAGCTCCAGGAAACACGGTGTCTGCTTTCAAACTATGGTTTACAGAAAGCTAAGTCAACACACCACCCATACGACAGGAAAATTATTCCAAAAGCTGAGAAACACAGAAAAAATAGCTATGAGGACTAAAGCATTTTAACATTGCTGTAGACTAGGCCATGAAGTTAAGGCAGCTGCTGTTCTTCACTTGCTGCATATAGGGCAGCAAAGAATAAGAAGGCTCTGACACTTGCAGTACTGTAGATGCTGGACGCGACTCTCTGGAGACTCCCGGCTGGGGTACAGTAATAAGGTGTCTGCCGTGGTCACTCACATTGTTCTCCAGCCCCTCGATCACCTCGATGCCGTTGTGGCTGAGGTACAGCTCCCGCAGGTTCACGAGGCTCTGCAGGCCCTCCATCTTGGTAATCCGGTTACTCTGATTGGGTACACAGCACCAGGACAACCGTCAGCACAGACGCACACACACCTTTTCACTCTCGGGCACTGTTCCCCTTCCTGGAAGTACTGCAGTGACACGAGGTCGCCTGTGCTACACTGTCACTCCGTATTCTGCCGCAATGTTTTATTCTGCAATGTATCAGATTTTGCGGATACAAACTGTACTGAGTCAGACTTCATTCCCCTTCTGTACATATTCTGCATTGTAGTGCTAGCCTGTATGGTACTGCACTGTCTGCATATTCTGCTGAAGTGTTACCTTTCATTGTAGTGCAGGAGTACTGCACTGCGTCACACTCACGTACTTCACCATTTTACTATAGTGTACTGTGTTTTACAGTGGCAGTGTTCCATGTTGTATCATTTGCAGGTAGCAATAGCACAGGCAAGGCCCCACCTGAATGCTGAGGACAGTGAGGTTGTGGAGGCCGTCCAGATTCTGCAGTCTGGTGATCTTGTTGGTGCCCAGGAACAGGCTGTCTAGCTGGGAGAGAGCATCCAGATTCTCAATGACCTGCAGAAGATAATACATGGTCAGTCCGAGTCTAAATCACTGCTAAATCAGAAAAAAAAAAAACATTTATATGGTAGAGCCTGAAATAGTGAAGAGGATAAAGAGTAAATTGGTATATACATTTGGGCTCTCTGCACTAGGTAGTGCTTAGTGCCGCTCACCCGGATTCGGTTGGAGCCCAGCTCCAGCATCTCTAGGTTGCTTAGATGGCCCACATTATCAATGCGACTGATCTTGTTGTGCAGCAGGAAGAGTTTGCGCAGGCGGGTCAGGCGCTCCAAGCCCTCGATTTTCCTCAGGACGTTGAAGGACACATCCAGGACCCTAATGACAGGGAGGAAAAAAGATAAAACTCAAGACGGACACAAAGGTGATAACCGAGAACGAAGAATCCACAAAAAACGAAGACGCTCGTTCAGACACTTTGATCTAGATCTCAGGTTTCTTCTTCCAGGGGAGAAGGAATAAGGTGGAGGGTTTATTGTGCACATGAAAGAGAAACTGGGTACAAGCACAGATGTGAGCCCTGGGGCTCAGGTGATGCTCTCAAGCTTATATATGCTGAGCTCAACCGAGTTTCCACAGGAGTGAACTGTTTTTTCACAAGAGCAAGATTTGACCAAAGTAGCACCAGGAATGTGATTTTAGGCGACTGCCCTCACCAAGGAAGCTCAGAGCCCAGCTGCTCAACATCCTGTTTCTACCCAGCACCTTGTTTCTTCTTCCAAGGTGACTAAAACAGCCTCCACCTCTGTCTACAGCATCAAATTACAGCCTGGGTGCTGCCTAAGAAGTGACTGGGAACAATTAAACAATTGGATAATTAAGCTTATAATTAGTTTTTATGATAGCATTGACTCTGTCTGTGCACATAATTCATTCGGAAAGGGAGAGTATGAAAGATGGACTGTTGCAGAAACCCTCAACGTGCACATGCCTGTGTCTTTACTATGTACATTCAAATGTCTCTTTTGAATTAACCTTTTCTCCAGGTTAGGTCCAAATCTTTTTGCTCTTATTTAGTATTACTTGCTCTTTATGCTCTCTCAATCTTACTCATCCCAGCAAAAAAAAAAAACCCACTAATAATTTAATGCATTGCTATACAATGATACCAACTTTAACCACAAAAACAAATCTCAGCAATCCAGGCTCTAAGATTACACTGGCTTTGCCCCCCAAGAATCCAAATGGGAGAAAGACTCTTTGCCTCTGCCTTACATAACTAAATGACTGTCCGCCCAAAGCAAGACAGCACTGCGTTGTGACTCCAGTGTGGCGCTTACACCCATTCACAAGGACATCACAGGGATGCTTACTCCATTTCTGTGAGAGCCTGAAGGTTCTCCAGCTTGTAAATCTGGTTGTCGTACAGGTCCAGCTCCCTGAGTCCACTCAGAGACTCCAGGTTCTCAATCTGCTTGATGAGGTTTTGCCGCAGGCTGATGGTCTGGTGGGACAGCAGGTGAGAGCGCACACACAATACGGGAAAACAAGACACTCGTTTTTCAATTTCAAACAAATTCGTGCAAGAAGCATGGGGAGAGGCTGCCACCAGGCTGCCAATATTTCACACCCTGCGTAATACATGCCATACGTCAGGCAAACTGTCCTTGCAAAGCTCCAACACATTAATTTGTATATTTATGCCAGTCAGTTTTTTCCTTTCCTTTATGTTATTAGATAGGTCACTGCCAACGCTGACCTGCACATCTACTTATATAGAACAGGGCGCACTAGTAGTGTAATGTGAGCTGTGTCTTGCTCAAGGGCACAACACCACAACGCCTCCCTCTTAGGTTGATGCACAGACCCATTAAATTTCCAGTCAAGTTTGTATAAATTGTACAAGGTAAAAAAAAAATTGACAACTACCACATCCTCAGAATTTGGACAGGAAACTAATATCCTGAGAACTGAATGCACCGAATGAGAGCTCAGAGAACGCTGTCCGCTCAAGACAGCAATAAAAATTAGACTTAAGTGTGAGCTATTCCAGGTAGCTGTAGATGTTTCAGAAGTCGTTGCAGTGCTAAAGCCGAGAGCTGAAGCTTTAATGGATGTTTTGATTGTAATTAAACATTTGCAATGTCTCTAAAGAACTGAGAAAGACACTCCTGTCTACTGAGACTGTGGTTATTAGACTGACCTTGGCTTTCTTTAGGATCTCCAAGCCCTCGATCTTCCCAATCCGACAGTGAACCAAATCAACATCCTATTGGGAAAGAACAAGAAAGAGAGGGAGGAAGACAAGGGGGAGACAGAGGAAAAAGTGAAAAATGGAAAAACAGTGTGTCCTGCTGGTCACTTCAACTTGCAGTTGTGCTAAAAACCCACCCCTACATGTAAATAACAAATCCCAATCCATTCTGACTTAACTAATGAACGTAGTACCTCGCTACCTAAAAACACTGAAGAGCACAAATGACAACTGTAACTGGGGGGTTGGGGTATTGATGACAGAAGCACAGATCTTGTAAGGCACTTAACTCTATGTTTGCTCTACGTAACTTTGAATCTGGCTTTGAAACATGCATTGATTTACTAGAAAGCAAGTCTCTATTATGATCTGTGTATTTCTATAAGAAAACAAAGTATTAATATCAACACTTCTATAAATATAACAATGACTAAGTTCTATGAAAATACAAGTCAATCAATAGTTTCACTGTTATTGTCCCAATTACTTTATCAGAGTTGGAAAAGAAAAATGCTGTTTCGCTGATATAAATTCTGTGTGTTCTGAGTGTTTCTTGCTCTGTACTACCCGTTGTATGTTGTTCTGCTAAGTTGTGCATGATGGCCGGCTGTGACTGCCATTATTTATTCATTACAGTTATGTAATGTACTGTGCACTTATGTGAAAGTGTTGTCTACTGTACTGTGCATGAAAGAACAGCGGAAGTAAGTACATGTACATATGGCAAATAAACTCTCTCTCACTTTAAAAAATATCTCACATCTGTAAAACCATTTGAAAGATCATCGGTTTAACAGGGAGTGAAAACAGATTTCAATTCAAAACTAATTGGAAAGGGGTGTACAGTGAAATAGAACTGTCTGGTGGGATTCCTTCCATTTTTAAAGTTTGACTGAAGACTGTGACTGCTAGCACTTAAAAAACCATCTTTCATGCTGGTGAACTTCCACTTTTAGCGATTTATTTTAAAGAATCCCAAAAGGACAAAAACACAATGTAAAACCGGCAACAACACTGGTAGGAGTGAGCAATCTTCTCAAATTTCACAAATTCTCAAGACCATTACAAAAGAACGTGGATGAAGAAACTACACGTCATGGTGCTCTGGGCCATCGACACCTTACCAACGAATGTGACGGAAAAGAACTGAGGAAATAAAAACAGAAGGAAGAGTAACATTGGCACGCCCACAAACCTCACACACAGGACCTTGTGCAACTTTAATTTTTATATGCTGGCTGTTTTACAGTCCATATTAATATCTAGCCAACGAGGACCAAGGCCAAAGTGCACAAACATGATAAAGTTTCGAATACACTACACTGATGAAGTACTGCACACTCCGATTCATGCTTACACCACTAAAAGGCACAGATGTACTACTTGCAGGCTGTCTAAATCACGAATAGCTATTTGAAGTACAATCCTATTGCATAGCTCTCTCAGGACCACTTCAACATCAGGAAATCACTTTTATGTTTAGAATATTACCATCAGCTAACAGTGTTACTTATAGACAACAAATGTTTTTTCTATTATGGAAAGCATGGTAATGTTTCTAATCTTCAGTATTTTTTTTATCACTATTACCAAACAACTTTAAATAATTCTGAGATACGGCAAACACTTTTAGGCACAATTCTCCTAATGGTATCCTTGGCACTCGCTGGAATGGAAACTTTTTTATCTCAAGAAACAGAGCACAGTACACTTTGCATTTGCCCTGACAAGAACTGCTCCTCTGTGCATCCTGTTGGCCGGCAGTCACTCAAACAGCAAAACACCCTGCGGAGTAAGTGTCTCTGTCAGGCCCTGCTGGACGCCCATGGCTAACCTAATAGGCTTCAGGGATGCTAGTGTGTCATATATTATGGGGCACTGCACAAGCCTATAGTGAACGCAACCAGCACTACTGCAAAAGTGTGGGAACAACACAGAACCCCTCCCCACATTACCACTCACTGACCTCCTCCTCAGGGTCAAGGGTTATTGTGTCCATGTCAACGGGGGACTCCTCCTTCTCTGCGGGTGGAGAAAGACAAAAAGGTGAAAACTGAGAGAAAATTCTGAAGACGACAAACCCCTCCAAGCAGGTTTTCTGGTTGTTTCAAAAGGCCGAATCGGTAAGGGGGCACACTCAGAGTCAGGGCCCCCAGGATAATAACGGCCCAGCCTCAAGCCCTCTTATTGCCAAACGATGACCTGGACACACAGCAGAGCGCAATCGGCACAGCGCTGCTGGGATAGGTTAGCCGCCCGTCACCCGATGTCCCCTCTGCCTCTGGAGAATGGCGAGTGCTGAGACCCGCGACAAACCCGCAGGCTTAAGGCGGCATCAACAAGACACGGCGCTGCTCCAGTCCGGCAGCCACGCTCCTGGGACGGACGAGCTGCTTGCAGGGTGCATCTGTGCGAGCGAGAGTTTGACAGCTCACCGGGCAGAGCAGGCTGCTGGGGCTCTGATTCTCCGTTGAGGCCCTTCTTCTTCCCCTCGTCATCCCCCGACTCCTCCGACTCTCCCCGCCTGTCAACTGAACACAGCGGGTCAGAGAGCAGCAGCAGCCAGCATACACCCGCAACCCCCCCGACAATGAATACTGCAATACCGAAACGGCACCAGGCGCAATAGTACAGCAGTATGCCCACATAACATAAATAGTAAGAGTGTACACCCATACTCAGCTACACACACAAGACTTACAGCCGTGACTCACTGAAGGAAACCACTGTAGAACAGTACTACGACACAAACTGTGTACACACCCTGAGCAACACAACCCGCGTATCTGTAACACAAACGGAGAAGAGAAGACCCTGTATATAGGCATTCATCTGTCTTTCACACACTCTGCTCTTCTATTCTCACCACATTGACGATGGGGTGTGGTAATCATAGTCGGCAACAGAAACACCGGCGGATGCTGTAGCATCTAGAGTTACACAGTTTTCCGGAGAGACGGGATTTTTTTTTTCCGCCACCGCCGTGACAGAGCTATAACTTCGTCGGCGTGCGTTTCAGAGTTGCTGTCGTTAAAAATGAGACTCCACACGTCCTGGATAAGAGCACAGCACAACTCTGGTCTCCCTCGTCGTCCTCACGACTGGTACCATACAGGCGTGTCGAGAAGGTGCTCCTGCACAGCTGTGCTCAAGGCAGAGTTGCGTTCACGTCAATAAGTGTGCGATACTGGTGCGGGCTTACTGTTTCCATGTTGGATGTGACGCAGCACAAATAATTAAAAAATGCATATTCTGTAGTTAAAAAAATGGACAGTAAAGCATCTTTCCTCAACAACAGAGATTCCCGAAATGATCTTTAATATTCAACGTGGAGCTGTAATAGTTAGCCTGGGTAGCCAAAGATCGCTGCGGTGCTGATGCTTTAAAAGTCGAACAGTGTAACGTACAGCTCTGAAACACGGTTGAGATTTTCAAAACAAACATTAAAAAACGAGACAGCTGGCTGCAATTGAATGACAATAGCGAAAAGCAGATAACTCTGAGTCGGTATTTGCACTGGTGCTTCTTTTCTCCCCAGAACGAATTAGATTCACTTTATTAAACAGCGGTTTAGAACAGGACTGATTTGTTTTAATGCCGATATTATACAATTCTTTGACAGTTTACGCTCACCTTCCATATCTTGCAGCTCGCCTACAGTCACAGAAGCCATTTTTCTCAGGTTCCGCCCTCCAGGATTAATATTGACAACACCCTCAACCAATCGGACACAAGATGTGTGGGTGGGGATAAAATCTGGGAAACCAATGACATAACAAGAAATATTTCAAGGCATCATGGGAACGGTAGTTTGTAAAAATTCGAGGAACGTGGTGACTTGAGGTAAATGCCAGTTGCCCTGGTGAAGAGTCTGCCCTGTCCTGCAGTATATTTATACAGCAGTACTGCCTCCTGCCCCTGTTTTGCACCTGGACTTTACATTT